AATTACTATTATTAATATTAATGGCAAGAGATTGACATGCAATAAGTAATATAAAAAAAAATCACATGTGTTAATTGGATTGGAACCAAATATCTAAAATATGTGAGGCTAAGTGTATAAATTCTCCTTAATTTTTTTTCATGAAAATATAATCCATTGCTCAAAAAATTCAAATCACATAAAAGAATCAATTAAGATGTTAATTATCAAATGAATCAAATCTCAACAAATCCTCATCATAATGCAGTAGGTTTATACACTTGACCCTTTGGAGAGGACATGTGGATTATGAGTATTAACATACCTGACCACCTTGGCTGCTTGTTCTTGACTTTACCACATTTCATCAAATTATTAATTATGATATGTAAACTACAAGTTGCATCAGTCATGAGGCCTCAGGCTCAAGTATAATGCCAAAAATAATAAAATTGATATATATTATAATATATAAATTTATAATAAATAAAATTTTTGCAATGACAAACTGATTTTTTTAAAACTAAGTTAAATCCACATGGACCCACCTAGTTTACTTAAAATAGTGACTTTAAAATCAAATCTCTAATCTTGAGATTTCTTACGTGCCCTCTTGACACAACTACTTTGTCCATTTCATTTATACTTGCTTGATAAGTGGGGTGAGAACATGGTAGAATAATTAATTATTCAAACACTAATCATGTAAGCAAAAAGTTTGAAAATAATTATTAATAAATATTAAATTTATTTTTAAAATTTAATCTTTTTTAATTTTTAACTTTTTAAGTGCATAAATAACTATGCTTCTTAAATATGACAATAGATTAGCAAAAGTATATCTTTAATCCTTTAGCTTTACACAAGATCTCATTTTCTCACTTAATTGTATAAAATGAATTTTCAGTTTTTTTAATTCTCAAATTTACATGGTTAAAACAAATGCCAATATTGAAATTTTAAATATTGACAAAATCTTATCAAATGTTATTATATTAAATTTGATTTTTAAAATAGAAATAAATATTAGAAAAAATTATCATTTGAGATTAACAATGTCAGAATCAAAGAATTTTTTAAAATTAAAATATTTTTTTATAATTAATTAGAAACCAAATAGTGGTTTTTATTTTTTATTTTTCCCCTTACAATTCTGTGTGTACAAATGACGACATGAACAGCCAATGATCTGAGAGAATGTCGATTGAAGTCACTTTTCGTTTTTTTTTCCCCCAAAGGGAATGCATAACTCATGCATGGGCAGCATGGCGGCCCAAAATAATACTACTAGATCTCTAATATAAGACCTAGTTAACTAATTTAGAAAGACTAAAAAATTAGTTAAACTAGTTATTTATAATAAATAAATATTGTCTTTCTTGAAATATTTTTACTAATCATGTGTACTAGCTAAAACTATTTGTGATATAATATTTAACATATGCAACTGCTATAAGGATTACTTTGAAAAAATTTTGATATATATGAAAGACAAAGTAAATTAGAGTCTTGTATTTAAGATTAAATTAAAAGTCAAACTGACGATTATATTAAAAACTGGAAGTAGTATTGTCTATGACTTGTAAATAAGGTACGGTTTTATAAATTTTATATTTATACTGATAATTCTTTGATATTAATGATTGGATAAAACTTTTCCATTACGTAAAATTTGGGAAATGAATTTTATTGTCCAACATTTTTAAATAATTTTTTGTTTTAAATTTTATATTATATGAGCTGAGCTCAAGTACAATATATGAGAAATAAGTCATGCTTTTTAAGATTATAAGAACCTAGTCAAAACGGCCATTTTTTGTTTTAAATTGTAGTGACCATTTTTGTATTGATTTCTTTTTAAGTAATACTTTTTTTAATTTAATTGTAAGTTCCCTCTTAAAAGTGCTTATTGACCAACCCTATCAACATTTCATTCTTCCTTCCTTCCTTTTGCTTTGATCGTTTCTTTTGTTTTGTTGATTCCTTAAACTTATTTCTTTATATGTGGATATATTTTTCATTTAGGTTCTCCCAACTATTGATCTATAATTTTCTTTTCAAACAACATTTTAATTTTGTTGTAATTTGTCTCTCAAAAGTTCTTAATTATCAACCCACGAACTTGTATACTTTCACACAGTTAAGCCCTACTTCCAAAAATAAAATTAAAATATATTAATTTGATTATAAATAGAGCTGATAATATATAGGCTTACCCTGCCAACCTCCCATAAGGTGGTGGATTGAGTTGAAAAAAATAGATACTATTTTGATACGATTTTTTTCAACTTGTATCTACCAACCCCCAATCCATCACAGGCTAGCCCGAAGCCCTTTTTAAATTAATTTTTCTTACAAGCTTATTTTTATTTTAATAAGAAAAAGTTTTATAATTTTCATTTAATTTACATATAGCTTTTTATTTTATTAGAGACTTTGATTCTAAATTTGATTTCTTTTTTTTTAATTGTTTTACCATCTTTATACTAATAAAATAACTATTAACAATAAATTTTATGTTTATATTTCAACTTTTGAAAATAATTTAATTATATAATTATATGATAATCTAAGAAAAAGAGGAATTTGGTTTATAAAAATTTATACTTTAATTTAAAAAATTTTAAATATATGTGTAAAAAAATTTCTTTTAAAAAAATGGAGGTTGGAGGGCTCTCTTGACGGGGTGGGTTGGCCAAATGTAAACTCGTCAGGAGGTGGTGCTTCTAGAATTGGCTCTCGTAATCTTGAGCCCGAGGTGGGCAAGCCTGTAACTGATGGATCAACCCATTTTATCACCCCTAATTATAGATAATTTGACCATGATCTCACCGTCAGTCTAATCATGGAATTGTAAACCCATGCCTTAATCATTTCAATGGTTAATCCATATTCCAAAATATTACTTTTTATATTGTCTTGGGAAAAACAATTTACTAAAGATGGTAACATTAATATTGACATTGATGAACATCTTTTAATTTTCTTTCTTCATTTCTTCTTTGTTTTTCCTTTATTTATTTTTAGCCAAAAGATGTGGTTGGATTTGAAAGAAGCGCTTCTCCACCTTGGGGACTAGAGACATGCATATCAAAGGCCTTTATTTTCCAGTGGGCCTCAGATTCTCTTTTGCTTTTCTCTCATTAACCAAGTAAGGAAAAGCATATCTACTTGATAATAAAGCCATTCTCAACATTTATTGCATGAGTAAGATTTTTCATCTTCAATCAGAATTGTTCAATTAATGAACTTGAAATTATTGGTTGAGACAGAGATATTTTTTTATTTATTAAATGACATTTAGGTCTGTAATATTTCAACTAGGGCGGCATGGGGAAATTTATTACTCCCTCTGTTCCTTATTACTCCCTCCGTTCTTTATTATAAGAGACATTTGATGCTCATAGCATGTTCCTATATATAAGAGACACTTACAAGTTGTCTTTATTTTTTTGTGTTGATTTACTATTTTACCCATATTTATTATCTCCAACTCACACTCTCTCTCCCTCCCCCTTCTCTTTCTTTTAATAATTTAATTGTTCTCTCTCATACTCTCTCTCCTTATTAATGAGGGCATTTTTGGAAAAAAATTATACTTTTTACACATTAATTGTTCTTAACTAATTTTAACTGTTTTTTTGATCAACGTACTTCGGTTATTTGTCTCTTATAATAAGGAACGGAGGAAGTATAAGAGACAAATAACCAAATTACATTGATAAAAAAAACAGTTAAAATTAGTTGAGGACAATTAATATGTAAAAAGTATAATGTTTTTTCCAATAATGCCCCCATTAATAAGGAGAGAATATGAGAGAGAACAATTAAATTATTAAAAGAAAGAGAAGTGGGAGGGAGAGAGAGTATGAGTTGGAGACAAAATAAATAAGGGTAAAATAAGAAATCAATAAAAAAAATAAAGACAACTTTTGAGTGTCTCTTATATATGAGAATATACCATAAGCATCAAATGTTTCTTATAATAAAAAACGGAGGAAGTACTTGACATCCTAGTTCTTATGTCTCCTTTGTTTTTAAGGAGATTTTTATCAAAACTTGCTTCCACGTGGAATTGACTGGAATCACAATGAGAACTAATTTCTGTGTTCACGGAAGGATGACCACAAATGAGGGCAGAATTTTCTCCTGGAAAATGTGAGAAAGTGAGAGTGAATTGACAGAGAATGAAAGTTGAAAGTTTCAAGACGGTGAGATCCCTTTCAATTCCCACATCACAATAACTTTATTCCATTATTTTAAATTTTGAATCCCTTTGTTTTTTAAAATTAAAAAAAAAACAATGGGATTAAAATAATTCAATAACTTATTAACTAGTTATATATGGGCATATAGGAATGGGCTAACCCACTAACAGGAGACCAATATCTAAATTCCAACAAATTAATTTTAAATTCAGAATTGGACCTAAGGTAATGAAAATGAAAATTAGATCACCACCAACAATCCCATCCCAGAAAGGGAAAAAACTGCTGAGTTGATTTAAGGTAAATTTTAACTCACCCAAAAACCAATAAGCTGAATAACGGATTAAAAAAAATACAAATCTGAATTATAAACCTAAAACAAATTTTATTGAGTTGCCCTTTCTTATTGACCTGATAGTCTAATAATTTCCATTAGTTGAATGATTGGTTTAATTTTAATAACATTGGTTTACTACCAAACACATGTTTCAGCTCACAAAAGGTTGTACCAATTTAACCAGAGCTCTCGTTTGAGTTCTGAAAATACAACAATACTAAATACTTGGTGACAAAGTTTTGTCACCATTTATAGTCTTGCTTGGCTTGGTTCAATCTAAGATAATATATTATGAACTCTTGATAAATCCTTTAGTTAAAGTGAGAGGTAAGTCTCAATCCATATTAATCTGCAACCTTGATAAATCCTTTAATTAAAAGTGAGGGCCAATAAAAAAAACAAATAAACAAATAAATAATAATAAAATAAAAATAGCATTGGTTTTCAAAGCAATTCTGGCTAATGAACAAGATGGAAACAATGGAAGGCCCCAGTAGCCCAAAAATTCTTAAACCCACATATTGAGGTCCTGTCCTTTTTAAAAGGTGCAGTGTGTAAACAAAACGAAGAGTATTTAGCAACAAAATGACTAGCAAAACATATAATGCAATTTGCAACAACAATCCTCATCTCATTAAACAGGATCGGCTATATAGATCATATAACACCATTACGCTCTATTCACAGCCAGCTCTTCTTGCGTATCATTCACCAACAGATCGTGATTACATAGGATTTGGGGTTTTATGTGATCGCAAGTCTTTTTTTTTCCCGGGGAAAAAGAAGAAAGGAATGCTGGCTCTCAGTGCTGTGACCAATTTTGGGAAAACATGGCATGTAACTGCACAGAATACATCAGAATATAGTCAAAGAAAGAAATTCACTCTACATCACCATGACTACCGATCAATGATGGGGGTTAGAACTTAGTAACCCTTCATGCAAGTCAGCACTATTCCTCGCTTGAATCGTATGAGGCTTAATCGGTACGGAGCTCGTCATAGCAAGGGTGGAACTTCCCAATTATGAGGTAGGGGGTTATAACCATGCAAGCCATAAATAACGTGAACTGCAGAACATAAAAATCAGCAAGTTGTAATCCCAACATTACCATTTGGAAGCAAAGAAAACCAAGTAGGAGATAAAGGTAAAACACAGACACAAAAAGTAAGACGAATCTGTTTATAAATATAACTACCAGAAGAGGAAGTGTCAGGAAGCTCCATATTGGCCACAATGCAAAGGTGAATCTGTAAGGAGGAAGAATAAAGTGTCAGCAAAATGGAGTTGTATTTAGACATACCATACATCGAAAATGAAAAAGAGAAGAGATTACAGTTTCTTACGAGCAAAAAGAGACGAGTCCAAATGCAGTAACGAATGGTAAAGCAGCGACACTTGTTACTTCCCATTTTTTTAGTCCCCATTTTTCATCAAATCTCTTAACACTCCATGCCAAGATGCTTGTATATATGAAAATCAGTGCATTTAGTCCAATACCTATCATTCCAAGATACATAGGCAGTCTGCAATAAAATTCAGGAGATTTCAAATACTGTGACAGTGATTAAGTAACTCAAGAATTACATTCAGTTAGAATCAGCATCAACTAAGACTACAGCAAATGCCCTAGCTGTTTCAAATTTAGAGGTCCTGAAAAAGGTATAATCATATGTCAACTATAATCATCTTACAAATCATCAAACACACTTTGTTTTCTATAGCTAGAGAGAGATAGATTGAGTGAAAAATTCATTTAAAAAGCGTGAAATTTTCTGTCCAACTAAAACAAGTAGGTATATTTTAAAAATAAGCTCTTTTTTGTGTTAGTTGTTAGTACAGTTTCCTGTAATTAACAGAGTTTGGTTTCTGACATGAAATCTGCCTTCCAATGACTTCTTGATTCTTGAACTTGTGGGAAGCACATGCAAGTCATAATCTTAGTCAATGAGACAAGGCAAAATAAAATTAGAACCCAGAACATGCTGTAGATATAATGGGATTCCCGGCTAAATCTTATTAATACCAACAACTAACAGGTACAGTCGATACAAGACACTGTTACAAGAAACAAAGATTTCATTTAAGTCAGTAGGTAACGGATAAAATAATTGAAACAATCTAATTCTAAAGCTTTCTTAATTAATTGCCAGACAGATCTCATCCTACAAACCTCCCTCTTTCAACAGGTAAAAGGTTTAACCTACTGCACCATGCTAGATAAGGAACCTACAACCTCCCTATCATTTCCACACATTCATAACTAACCGCATAGAACTTCAAGTGATGTTAATGAAATTGTACATGAAAGGGTGCTCAAAGATAGAAACACAGTGACCTAGATCCCTGCGCATTATGTTCATACTCTGCGAATGGTAAATGCCATTATCGTCAAGAACTTCAACAGCTAATGAACACTTTTGAAGCTGCAAGTCTTTATCAAACTCTAATCTAAGCCAATTTAGTTCACATTTTCAACATCTCTTCTTCGGCAATTTTAGTGGTAACAGTTAACCTTCACCTTACAAACTATCACATAGGCTGATGCCATATGCGAGAGAGAGAGAGAGAGAGAGAGAGAGAGAGAATGATTAAATGGGTTATTCTTTCTGTTACTTTTCTAACTACTACTTATTTCTGTTACTAACCCAATGCAACGTATCAGAGACCAACTTTTGTAAAACAATAATGCACAAGTTGTTTTCTATAGATAACAAATATTTCAATAATAAAACCAAAGTAGTAACAAGATGACGTCTTAACTCAATTTTTACTCAACTTATGGATGTTTACATTTCACACCATTATGCATGTTAATAACCGGAGGTTCCGAGATTTGCTTTGATAGACCAAACAAAAAGTTGCCATAAGACTAAAAAATAAGAAGAAAAAATATGATGCAAAGGAAAGAATCTGTTCAGACTAAATGAGTTAACAAAAATCCAAAATTTAAAGAAATGAAAAGCTAAGAAAATCGGGGTTACCTTTTGATTCGTTCGTCATGAAACAAGAGGTAAATCAAATTGGAATCACGATCGCCGAAGTATACGATTAAAGCCGCGGAAGCAATCCAAAGAAAATTTTCCAAAATCTCGATCCACGTTCTTCTTTCTTCTTCAAAGCTTGCAGGAGAAAAAGGACGAAGTCTCGAGCATGCATCGTCTTCAAGGTCATCGCCACTGCTTGCGTACCCCTGGCTGTGTCTCTGTCTCATAAGCCCTCCTCCACCAACCGGTGTACCTCCAGACATTGTAAGACAGAACCACAATCACACAATGAACATGCAGTACCAGAAGAATCACCAAAACCTAACAATACTGGCACATAATGAACTTGGAATTCCTCCACAAAAGAAGTGACTGTGGCTCCTAATTTCACACTACAAGCTAATCCCAACTAAATTCCCCCGACCGAGATTCATAATCTGCATATCAGTCAAAATCTAAATGCACATCCATTGTAGATTGAGTTCACCGTTGAACACACGAATTCGTCAACTAGAACAAGCGAAGACCCGCTTCGAGAAAACTGCCAGAAAACCCATTTTGAACTCCCGGAAGCTGAATAACCGAAAATTAAGCATAAGAAAAGACTCTGATTTGAGTTTGTAGCGGACAGCAACCCAGAAATTTCCTTTGGTTTCTCGGATTCAATTAATCGACGAGACCCAGTGGCTTGGTGTGCATGCAAAATGATATGATTCCAGAAAGAGTAGAAAGATGACAAGGTATCGGATTTACAGTGCTCTTCTAGAGAAGAGAACAACACAGCCAAAAGTTTTAATGGCGAGTCAGAAGATTGAAGAGTGAAGATTCGTTTCGTGTACGTCCTTCGAAATGCAGGGGGATTCCGAAGCTTCGAACCTTCCTTAAATTCGGCTCCATTTTTGTTTTCCTGTTCTTGTTTTTTTTTTGAATGAATTGTTTTCTTTTTTCATATAAACATTTCTTTTCAAATTATTCTTAATCTTTAAAAGGAAAAGTTTAAAAAATCACTCCTAAAATGTAATTATTACTGCTTTTGATGTTAAGTAGAGAATTTAATCAATAAGCTTGTTTTTTACCTGAAATATCAGACTCTTATTTTCTAAATATATGGTTTTTTCTTAAATTATTCTTATTAATTGTATATATTAAAATATTTTCATATAAAATAATTGTTATTGCAACTAATTAAATGGTGTATAAACGCATTTTTTAATAAATTATGAACTCGATTTTATTCATTCTTGTAAATTAAATTATCTATTTCTTGTATTAGTTTAGTTTGAAACGGTTATGCATATTAAATTTCAAGGTAATTAAACATTTTGAAGTTTTGAGTTTATAATCTATTTCCTTTTTGCCATTAATGTAAATCCCTACAAGTTAAAAAGTTCAAAATCAAAATAATATTTAACTGTGTTTGTTAAATATCTAATTAGGAATTTAATCCCTAACGGTGTATTTGAAGAGGGACTCGTTGCCAGCACTAAAATCCTTAATGGATATACATTATGAAAGAGTTAATCATTAGTGGATATTTTGGATTCAACAAAAAAAAAAAAGAGTCCAAAACCCGTAAGAATATATAGGTTGGTAAAAATGGAAGGTAAATTTGAAAAAGCATTATTGGATTGGAATAAAGAACATTTGAAAATTGAAAAACACATTTATAAAACTGAGTGAGATTACAGTGTTCTGCATTTTCAAAAAGAGAATAAAACTTTGGTAAGAGCAAAATACTTCTTTTTGGTAATTGACTTATTTAATATACAACTAAACTTTCTCCAAAGCAAATCGAATTGTTGGGTAGGCGGTACAGAATGTGGGGTTATAGCTTTTTGCATGTCAGAGAAGCAAGGAGTTTGTTGGATAAGCATATGACTCTTAATTTATCCATAATATGGTTTATTTTTTTTCAAGTTTTGTCCAATATAAATCTTTGTTTAAATGAAGGAAAAAATTGAAAGAATAAAAATGGGACCAGAGAGTAATTTAATGGGAAGAGAAAAGTGGGGTCTTCTTATGTTTAAATGTACATAAAAAAACATAGAAAAAAGTAATTAATTTCACTATTATAAGGGTCATAATAATTATATGAAAAATACAGGTTAAATTATATAAATCTCTGCACTTTAAATAATACTATAATACGCAAATAATTCTCTCAACATTTAAAACCTAATAGTAAACCACACCCTAAACTTTTTAAGTCTATGTGGATAATCTCCAACCATTAATTAAAAACTTTAAACTTTGACTTATTTTATGATGTTATTTGCGCATGACAGAAAATTTAGGGGAGTTTTGTATTTTGTGTGTGTGTGTGTGATCCTATGTTTCTTTTTCTACCATTTGGGGTAATTTTGAAGGGGAAAAAAAAAGAAGAAGGAAAGAAACATGTGGGTTGCATACCCTTTTTATTATTATAATTAATTCTCTTCCATTTCCCCCCTTTTCTTTTATATATTTGAACATAGAAAAATATATTTTCTTCTAATGTGCTGAACAGACCCACAAGTGAACTTTATGGGAAGCAAAATGAATTGGCGGTGGCGGAGGATGTGGATGCGGTGTGGGGCTAACTAGCTTTTTTTTTTTTTTGCAGGATAAGCATATGACCTAAAAAGGAAAGCCAAGATGCATTTATTTTTTTAATGGATAACAACGCTTGGCATTTCTTGTTGGGCACTCAAGTGCTTCCTCCAAAATTCCAGCTCATGCTCTATCCAACTACTATTATCATTTTATATCCTGTCACGGATCAATTGCATCATGTTTGGTTTTGGATTCATGATTAATTTTGATACATAAAAAAAATATTTGAAATTTTTTTAAAAAAAATTCATAATTTTAACTCTCATATTTGATTACGAGAAAAATTCAAAATAAACCCTAATGCAATATTTTTTAAAAAATAAAGACAAAAATCAAATATCATATGAAAGTGGCTATGGTTAAGTGGCACTTAACTGACTTTTTATAATACAGATCATGGGTTTGGGGGATGTTTGGATGGAAACAAAATTATAGTTTTAAAAGTATTTTATGGCATACAAAATAAATATACGAAGGAGTTTGTTTCGATTTGTGAAAAAAATACTTTTTAGAAGTATTTTTTAGATAATCCAAACACCCCTTGATCTTATTGCCTCTTGCTTGCCCATCCTACTAAAAGAAATACCAAAACCCATGTATTTGATGAACGGAATTTGACAATAAAAGTCAGGCAATCAATTTTAAGTTTTATAAAAAAAAAATACAACTTTCAATAAATTTTATTTACACAGCCTATCCTGTTTTTCTTTTTCCTCCTTCACGTGATCTCTATGTTTACGAGTTAAAAAGTACTCCTCCGGTCCTTAATATAAGACCCATTTATCTAATTTGATTAGATTAAGGAAGTTAGGTAAGTTAGGTAATTATAAGAAATGTGACATATTTTTCCTAAAACACCAAAATCATCTTTCTTATTATTCCCTCTCCCTCTTCTACTTGATTATAGTTGATGGAGTATCCATAGGGGTAATTTGGAGAAAATTAATAAATATGAGAAATGGGTCTTATATTTAGGATCAAAACCAACTCAATAATTGGGTCCTATATTAAGCACCGGAGGAGTACCTTACAATAGGAATCGGGGTAATAACTATCTGACTTCTATATTTAGGATTCAATGAAGTGCATTAGTGCTAAAAAAAAACATACAGCAGTTGAGGTGAGATGCACAAATCATATCATAATAACTAAACAAATTGAATGATGCTTCGTTTTCAAGAGAAGCGTATAGAATTGGAGATGCCACATGGAAGCGTGATCGGGGGCCAAGTTTACACTTTGGGTGGTCCGTTCTCATTTATAAATGGGTCTGAGGATGCACATGGAGCCATCACCCAGGCCTTATTTATACTCTTTTAATTTTATTTATAAGATAAAGAAAGAAGATTTTCTTTAATCATATCTATAAGTCATCTCATTAAATTTTTAGCATAAATATATTATTTTATCCTTCATTTATTATATTATAAATAGCTATTTTTTTACAAGATGTATATATATGAAATATAAGTAAAATTAAAAAGTTATATTTTAAAAGAGAATTAATGTAGTTTAAAGTTTTCTCGAGTCTATGTGAAATATGTTAAAAAATATCTTATAAATAAGACATGAGTTGTAAATTCTACTAATAAAAATGCTCATATCAACCTCAGCTCCATCTTGCTTCATTGCATTATTTAGATTCACCACTTGGGAACAGTACATCTTCGCACAAATTTTAGATTTTATATTGCTGTTTTTTTTTTGGCCAACTAGATTCTATATTGCTTGATTAAATAATATTATTGGATGGAATTAATTGAGTCTCTTGAAATTTAGATCATTCACAAATAATTTCTCTTGCATACAAAACTTACCAAGAAACCTACCGCATTTTTAAATTGAACAAATAATTTTACTTTATAAATATTGGATTTGCACAAAACATGAAGAATGAACCACATTATGCAATTCACGACTTAGGGATGCACACAACTTGCTACAATTAAAGATTTTGTATTGGTTGAGTATGCAATAGTAATGGGCAATATCACAAATGCAAAAACGGTTTTTTTAAAGCTAGTACACAAATATGATTCTGTTAGAAGTATCCAAACAGTACTAGATATTAAATCTTATCTTTCCCAATAAAAATTCAAACTTTGTTCATCATACAGTGAGCAATCAATCCCTACCACTAGGATTCAATGTGACGTAACAAATGCTACATATAATTTATCTCATATTACCTCAAATTCTTATTATAAAACATCATTTATAGCCTACAAATTATATCTTATAATTAGAACATACTACAAATTAAGTTTTCTAATTAAGACCGAATGTAGTATTTTAGTCTAATAGATGTTCGACAAAACTCTGTCCATGCTTGATAAAACATAATAAAATCAATATCAATAAATTTCACAACTTGACGTCATGTATTGTTCCAGGAAAGAAGATTGTGGTTTTTATTAAACAGAGTTTCATCTAATCGCAATGTAAATTGTGATTGTCCACAGTTGATCCGTCCGTCTAACTAGAGAGAATTTTCACCTTCAAAGCATCAGTGTCATCCAATGTTCATAAAATCAGGACTTCCTACAGGATTTTAGATCTATTGATCCTATAATGATGATGATGAGGAGGAGGAGGAGGAGGCTGCTCCAAATTATTGTGATTATATATCTATTATTCTATATTGATAACGTAATAAATAAACATAAACAAGTCAGTAATTGAACAAAGTCTAATGAAAAAAAAAAAAAAGGGAAATGCAAAACTCAACACAGGACAGAAGAGGATCCCTGTCTGAACATGATGCCTTCTACTTTTTTCATAACTAACCACCTCAGGAACAGCCTTACTAGAAACCTACTCGTTATCCTCATCATCATAACAAACATGATGAACGGATTTGAGGGACCTTCTCTCCCTCCCCCCCTCGCTCTCTCTCTCTCTGGTTTGCTTTTCAAATTAAAATTACACGTTTCTTTGGTTACATCAGGAAGATTTGAACTCTTGACTTCTGCTTATACTCCACTCTAAACCAATTAAACCTACCTCATGTGGCTAATATTACACATTTCTATTATAACACATACATCAAATCATGTGTAGAGCTGTTAGTGCTCGTCAAGGAGACACCTGGAAGGAAAAGCAATACCGTTTGGCAAGTGCAGGATCAATCATTGGCCACCACCAGCACTACACAAGCCTATTAGGTCCATCAGCGTTGCATATAGCAAATCCAGAGATAAGGGGCCCAAGAATTTCCTGTATTCAGATGCGCCATCAGT